TCACACTGTATTTTGCTACACCCTGGAAATGTAATTTTGAGCTCCAAGTAGTGATCTACCCTGCTGACAGGAAAGTTTTGATGCTGCTTTAAGGTGCAGTTTTAACTCTAAAACTGGAAAACCAGGATGATTCTTCCTTGCTATAAAGTAGGAGATATTGCCAGTCTGTGGAGTGTTAGAAGCTGGAAAATCCATGAAAACCTCACGCTGAAGTAGGAGATAGAAGCTGGAAAATCCATGAAAACCTCACAAAAACCTGTCTGCTCAGCATACCTGCTGCTGAGCCCCCATGTATCACAGGAATTGGCTCCGCAGGCAGGATTTCTAGATGCACTGCAAGCTGTACAGGTGGGTGTGTACATATTGTCTGTGTCATGATTACTGCTAAGTTGTCTGACTGGGGTTCCTGCCAAATAAGCAAACTTTCATTCAACACAGTCTGGTTTTCATATTTAGGGTAAAAAAAAAATGTCAAAGGCGATGTTTCCTCCAGTAACCTTTTCAGTTTCACCTGAAACCTCTGAGCACTTGTCAGTACTGTGCAGGCACAGCACGCTGCACTGGGTGCTCAAGCTGAGCTCCCAGCGTACAAAGGCTCAGCAGTGCCACTGCCTGCAGCCTGGCAGAAATCCACAGAGCCCAGAGGGGGGTCTCCACTGACATTTCTGAACCATTATTCCTGTTGTACTCCAGCAGGCTCTAACTGTCGATTCACAGCCCAGGCAGTTCCCACAGTCTGTATATTTATAGCATGCAACTGACTGTTCTTTGTCTACATGTTTCTAGAAATCTGAGAAGTGCAAAGGTCCTTGGCACCAAAAGCAGGTGCTGAGCACACTCCAGGTGAGTCTATGTCACTGAAACCATACTCTCTTACAGACCATGCCAAGGCTGGACTGAACAATGAACTCATTACAAAGGGAAATGCCTGAATGGCCACAGCTTGGGTTGTTCCATCACTCAGAGTTTGGGGTTGTCTCCATATTTCCCCCATCATATATGGTGATTTTACCTGCAGATATCTTTTTTTTCTTCACAGTAGGGCTATTAACTGGCTAGCAGTTATTCCGTGCTAAAGGTCCCTTCATCAGTCTTGAGCTAAAATAATATCTTGGATATTGGACAGTCTCTTTGCTGCTTCATAAATTAGAAAGTCTAGGCAGCAGGACTGCTTTTGGCAGAATTTTCCATAAGTATAACACAGCTGGAAGTACAACTCTTCATGTTCCTTCTCATTACTACTATTAGCTTCCTCTTTCTTAGCCCAAAGGACATATTTAGCTGAATATTTCACTCCTATTTGCAGCAGGCTAAAATTTATCTTCAAATGTGCCCAAAATTTTCAGAGAATAAGACTTTGACATGTATGATCTTGGAGAATCTAATCTTTTTGTCACTGATAAAATGTGGCTCTGGGCTCTGGGCACAAAATCCTTTCCTGAAATGAGATTTTCTTGTAAGCTTCACCAGTGATATTGAATACTTGGAAACATTTGAGAAGCAGCTTGACCTTGTTGCATTCAAGCTGTGCTCACTGGATTTGGATGAAAATCAGTATTTCACAGAGCCACTTTGAAGTTCCATCATGCCTACCACTGTTTGGGTTGTCCAGGGGCAAATTCACTGCGAGTTTGACCCTGGCTCCTAAGCTGGTGTGGTGTAAATTCATCATTGTTTTACTGTGGGAGCTAAAGGCTGCAGGATGGATTTTGTGAGCTGCCTTTTAGCATGCACTGACCTGAGGTGTCAGAAGACCTACACCAAGGTGCTCTGACACGTTTCAAAGTATCTGGAGTGTTCCTCCTCCAGCAGAGTGAGATATTGACTTGTATGGCTTCCTCCTGCAGAATCAGGACATTCCGGCCCACTCTGTGTTTACTTAGCAGATGGGATCAGGCACTACTCATCCAGGCAGTTCCTAAATCAATGGAACAGAGGATGAACAGCATATGGAGCATGCCCCATCCTCAGGCATCTCCTGAGCAGTGTAATAGCCCTGGCTTTATTCCAAACTCTTCCATTTATCATTATTCCTGTCTGAACTGTGGAGGCTCTCTTTTATCAAAATAATTTCCTATCAGGCAACTGAAGTAAAGCAAGCAAAGAATGAAAAGAAAAGCAGAAAACTTCCACCACTGAAAAGATGGAGAGATGTTTTTAAGATCACAGTGAATATCCAGGAAGTACTCTGAGAGAGAAAAGGATGCAAAAGCTCGTGTGTGCCTGGATGAGGTGGAACAACATGCAGCATGTCACAGTCTTACTTCTCAGTTCATTCCTATAACCTGAAAAATAGGAATAAAAATTACAAGTTCAAGCACATACTCTGCTCTGGCAAAGCTGCTTCTGAAGCTGGAATTATTTGGGGTAATTTAGTTTGCTTGATTAAGATAATTTGGGATGTGTTTGGCCCAGATAAAGAATGGATCACTTTAAATATGAAGTTAGCCCTCATGTTCAGGGGCAACTAATCTACCTTCTGTGTATTAATGTGTTATAAATTACTGAATTTCCTGAAATGCAATTGATTTTATACAAAGAAGAAAATGTCTGTAAGAAGAATCTGCTATTGTAGGTGGTTGTGTTTTCGCGTGATTTTTTGCTGCTGTTTTAAGCCCAGAAGTTGTAACTCACTGGAAGTCTACCCATAATGTCTAATTTCTTGTACACTGTGTATGTGTGTATCTGCATATGAGGCTGGGGAAATGCTTACACAAGCAGAGTTCATGCTTCAAATAACTGTTTTTAGCTCTTGTATTTGCTAAGCAACACCAATTAACTCTTACTCAAAATACCATTCCCACAAATAAAACTACTGCTATTTGCAGGTGTGCCACACTACTCAGGACACTGCTCTTGCCACAAAACTCATCCAGGACAGGCTCCTGTTTGCACTGCATCCATGCAGGTGCATTAACCTTCCCACGTCAGCCTGTGTCTAATCACTTTTAATGTCTAGAAATTTCCATCTGGTGTTAATAGTGTTTCCCCACCATGGTAACCATCAATCTAAGAGCACACCTAGTCTCATACAGATCAGGAGGACTTTAAATCAAAATCTTTGCAGCTGTTTGGTACACAGTAAGAGTTGTGCCTCCTTTATTTGCTTTTATATTAAAACAGGGGGATGTGAAATGAAACTAAAATATAAATTTGCCCTTCCAGTGTCTTCCCCAAGTCTGCTACACCAGTGATATCCCTGCTGGCTTTGAACTGAGCTTCTGAGACCAGAGTCTTTGATATGATCCTTGCCCTCTCAGTCATGCTGCTTCCTAGAGGAGTCCGTGTCCCTGATCTGCTGACAGCCAGATTGCTATTTTTTCTTCAGCATTGTACTGAGGGAAGAAGTGAGTGACATTATGCTGTTTGCAGTGGGTTTTCTCCCCCACCCACCCCCCCTTTTAAAATTAATTATTATTAAACGCAATGCCAGGGACAAATTATTCTTGGGAGCCGAAAAACTGTGATCCTTCTAATAGGCTTGGATTATTTCCAGCTGGTTTTAAGCACCTTTCTCCATTAGCTGGAGAGGTGATTAGCATGAAGAGCCTCCTGAGTGAAGTGTCTTTTCAGCATCTAAAGTTAGCTCAGGGGAGCAGGGCGGCCGAGCCTGGCGCCAGGCCCGCGGCAGCAGCTTGGTTGTGCCTCAGCCCATCGCCTTCTGCCGGGGGAATCGCCCGTATTCCCTGTTTCAGTAAAGCCAGGACGTGTCACCTGTGGGCTTGCCAGGGGACCCTGGCCAGGGACAGCACAAGGAACGGGGGTTAGGAATGAGGAGCTGAGCCCCAAACCCACACCACTGCGCTGGCTCAGGCTCTCTCCTGTATTCACAGAATCACGGAACCAGCTGGGTTGGAAAAGATTTCTGAGATTATCGAGCCCAACCTGTGGCCCAACAGCATCTTGTCAATTAGACCATGGAACCAACGTCCAATCTTTCCGTAAACACCCCCAGGAGCAGCGACTCCACCACCTCCTTGAACAGCTTGCTCTGATGCCTTAATCAACCCTTCTGTGAAGAGATTCTTCCAAGTGTCCAAGCTAAACCTCCCCTGGAGCAGTTTGAGGCCGTTTCCCGTCCTGAGGCTGGTTCCTGGGCAGCAGAGCCTGACCGCACCTGGCTGCACTCCGTGTCAGGGAGCTGCAGAGTGACAATGAGCCCTGAGCCTCCTTCCCTCCAGCTGAGCTCCCGCAGCTCCTCAGCAGCTCCTCACTGCCCTGTGCTCCAGCCCCTCCCCAGCTCCGTTTGCTTTCTCTGGGCTCCACTGCCGTAACTCGGGGCCGACACAGCAGCGAGCCCTGACCGAGAGCCGCCCGTGCTGTTGCAGGGTCGCTCCCTCGGCAGCGAACACGCTCCGGGCATGGTCGGAGAACGCGGGGGTGCCGCGGCTGCACCTCCTCGAGGGGACCCGCGACACCCGCGGTTCTGGCCGTGACACCCGCGGTTCGAGCCGTGACACCGCCTGCTCGAGCCATGACACCCCCGGTTCGGGCCGTGACACCGCCGGTTCAGGCCGTGACACCGCCTGCTCGGGCCCCGCTCTGGGCGCTCCAGGCCGGGGCCAGCGGGGGCGCAGCGCCCCCTCCCGGCAGTACCACCGCGGGCGCTGCCTGCACGGGCCGCCGCTGCCGAACCGGGCAGGATTCCCGTGGGGAGGCCGTGACACCCCCAGTTCGGGCCGTGACACCGCCTGCTCGGGCCCCGCTCTGGGCGCTCCAGGCCGGGGCCAGCGGGAGCGCAGCGCCCCCTCCCGGCAGCACCACCGCGGGCGCTGCCTGCAAGTCCCGCCGCTGCCGAACCGGGCAGGATTCCCGTGGGGAAAAATCTGTGTAATTTCCGCCGTGTGTTTTAATTGTTCTCTCTTTAATTGATGTCTGTTTATAAACTAGAGACGGGGCGAACAGGGCGGGCAGCGCCGCCGCCGCTCAGCGCGGTCCTCCCGCCCGCCGGGGGCGCTGCGGCCGCGCGGTCCCGCCCTGTCGCCCGAGCGGCGGTTCCCGTTCCGGGCGAGGCGGCGGCGCTGGCGCCGGGATGGATCGGGAGCTGCTCCGGCAGGCGCTGAGCTACCACGGCCCCGCGCTGCTGTCGCTGCTCCGCGCCGAGCAGCACGACAACCCCGACTTCCGCGGGCTGCTGCCGCCGCCCGGGGCCGCCCCGGAGCCGCCCCGCGGGGCCCCGCCGGCCGCCTGGTGAGGGGCGCCGGGGCAGCGGCCGGGCGGGCCGTGAGGGGCCGCGGGGCGCGACTCACCGCGTTCTCCTTCCCCCAGGAAAGAGAGGGCGAGCATCGACACCGAGATAATGCGCTTCATCGCCAAGAAGGCGGATCTGCTGTTCGCGCACTCGTGGAAACCCAACGGGCCGATCGAGGACAGCATCGAGGAGAATGAGGGTGTGTGAGTTGGGGGCGGTCACTCTGTAAGGACAGCGCTTGAATTTGCGGTAGCTTTAGAAAGAGGCTTAAAATTTTTCCTGTTGACTTTTATAGGCTGTGCGTAAGCTTCTTGTTAGCCCAGGAAATCATATTTTTGTGCAGCTTGGCCGTTTGTAACTGGCTGTGCCCTTTTGCAGAGTGTTACGCTGTCATGCCACCCCTGGAGAGGTTCCTGGAGGTGCCCAGGGAGGAGAGGAGAGAGCTGTTCTTCCGCGACATCGAGCGGGGCGATATCGTCATGGGGAGGATCACATCTATCCGTGAATTTGGCTTTTTCATGGTGTTGATTTGTCTGGGAAGTGGTGTCATACGGGAAATTGCAGACTTGGAAATCACTGTAAGATACAGCTTTGGTCAATAGCTCATTTTTGACATTTATTTGTTGCCTCTTGCATCTCTTAATAGAGTGGAACTTGTAAAGGTGAAACAGCTTTGGGATGATGGGTAGTGCCTGGCTTTGTGGGCAGCTTGTAGTACTTTGCCCAGCCAGTGAACATGCCTTTCACAGCATTGACCCACATTATCGGGTTGAAAAGTTCATCATTTGTGGGTGCATAAGTTTTTACTTGAACCAAGACATATTTTAAGAATTGCAGTTGTGGTGTGCTTCAAAGTAATCTGTTTTAGCATGCTCTTGGGGAGGAAAAAAGCCTCAACCCTCTGGCTTAATTTGTGACATTCCTGCTCTGTTGTGTTGCAGGCCCTGTGTCCTGTGAGGGATGTGCCTCCTCAGAGCAACCATGGAGATCCTCTGTCATATTATCAAACTGGAGACCTTATCCGAGGTGAGCAGCTGCAGAAGTGTCAGGAGTTTGTCTCAGGTTTGAGCCATTTCTGTGAATTTATCCCTGCCTGTGTTATTTCTGCAGCTGCACTTAAGGACGTTGACCGTTACCACCAGAAGCTGGCCGTGTCGCTTTACAGCTCAGCTCTTCCACCCAAGCTTTCCAGTACAAAGCTGGGTGTGATCACCTCTGATGACTTCCCACTGCACTATAAGTAAGGATGTGCTCTTTGACTGCACTTGCTGGGTGTAGTCAGGGTGTCTGAAGAGCACCTGACAGGCTGGCTGTCCCTTAAAACTCCTCAGTGGACTTTCTGATTTAATGGGCTGATCACATCTTCCCTGTTGTTCCTCTCTTTAGCATACTTGTGTTTGGATATGTAGGTGTGGTTGGCTTTTTAGCTGCTTTCCAAAAATATAAGGAAAGCAAAAGGCAGGGTGAGGTATGTGTTGCTTTTGGACTGTGTTAACAAATAAATAAAAAAAAACCAAAATCATGGGAGACTGCAATATTAATTCTTAGCATCTTAAAATTCCCCATAGAAGATGGGGACACAGCTGTGACATTTGTCATGCTTTTGTATGTCCTGGCAGTAGGGGGTGGATGCCCAACTAGGTTTCAGAAGCTCACTTGGGGTAAAGGACATAAGGGTCAGTAAATAGCAGGAAAATACATACCTGTAGAAGAGAGCAGTTTGTGAGCAGTAATACAGATACCATGTGGGCATTTTTATTCTAAACATAAGCGTGGTGAAATAGGGTACAGAGCCTGAGGTCTCATTTGTGTACACTGGTGCTGTTTTGAAGGCGAAGCCTGGAAGTTGCCAACACAGGAGAGACATTTGAAGAGGTTTTGCATCGTTCCCCAGGATTTGCTAATCCATCATTAGTTGAATATTTAGCAGAAAAACTGGGACTAAGTGAGTCAAATCCACCGTCTTTGCTGAGAAGTCTTCAAATGTAAGTGATTTTTACATTGTTCCTCTCCTGTAGCTCTGTGGAGATTATTCTAATCCATTGAAATAGACTTGTGAGTGGGACACTTATACTTAAACCTTTTACATTTTGACTTGCATGACTGCAGCGTACATGTCCTTAAATATTTAAAAGGAAGAGTCTTTAGATTTCTTTAGAGTAAGAAATTTGCATTTGAAATCCTATTGCTCTGAATAAGCAAGACACCTTACCACACACAATGTTTGATATCAGATACTTGTGGAATATTATTGTTTTGCCACCATCTGTGGATTGAAATGCAGGATGTTTAGGTTTTAATGTTTTCTGACAGATGTTTATTCACAATATTTTACTAATGGATTTGACCACTTTCATAAAATAAGAGTCGAATATATGCAATGTTTGATGCTGTGACCCCTGTGTATATTAGGCTCAAAGCAGGTGTGGACTTAATATGTTTTTGTTAAATGTGCTGCAGTTGTACTGGTTCAGTTCAGCACTTCTAGAATGGTTTGGTGAAAACTGATTTCAGAAATATGAAAGAACAGGCCTGACTGAGGGAGAGCAGTAAGGCATGGACAAATAATATTTCAGTTTATTTCAGCTGCACTGCATACTGTAAGCTTAACTTTGTAGACTCAGACAGCCAGCTTGATGTTTTTATTTGTTTGTTCCTTAAAGTAAAAATTTCAGTGAAGAAGATTTTGCCCCTGCATTGAGGAAAAAACAGTCTGCATCATGGGCCTTGAAATGGTATGTGATACTTCTCCTTGTCAAAGCTTGTTGTTAGATTGTGTTACAGATTATATTTCTGCAAAGAAAACACACATTGAAACAGCTTTTCCACTGCATGTGTAGCAATATAACCAGATTATTATTGAAAATAAACCTATATGCCAAGTGGGAATGTGACAGATAAAGTCCTGAGATTCAGTTCTAAAATATGTGTCAGGTTTAAAGGAGTTGTAAGAATACTTTTAATATCCTGAGCCATTCTAGAATTGAGAGCAAGATTTGTGGTAACACCAAGCACACAATTTTCTGTTTTATAATTGAGTGTTGAATGACCTCATACTTGTCAAGTCATTTAAGCCTCAGACTGTAGATGTAACACGTGCAGTTGCTGTGTTTGGAAAGTTAAATAGAGCAGCAGCCCTGGGTATTTACTTTTGCTTTTACACTGTCCAGTGCATTTGGAATGTTAATTGCAGAAAAGGTTGCATATAATAGTAATAGTAAATTAAATTTTAATTTTAAAGAAGAGTCTGTGATGAATTGTTTTAAAAATCAGCTCATATCAATTCTCTTCTAATAAGTTAATCTCTTGGAAAATGTACAAGAAGTTTTCAGGGAATATGAACTGTAAAGGATATTTGTGTGAGGTGATCTGGTTTGAGCGTGTACCATCTGCCCATGCCACCTTGTGCCATTGCTCTAATGGGGATTTTTAGCTGTGGATATAATTAAGCCTGTTCAAGGTTAATGGTAGTAGGTCATCCATAGTTTTAAGCAGAAAATTACTTAAACAATAATTCCATAAATGAAAAATTATGTAATATAGTAGCACTGTCTGAAGAAATGCTCTTGAATGCCTTAAGATATTGGATTAAAGACAATACATTTTTATGGCATTAGGTCACTATCACCTAACTGAAATTCCAGTGTGAAGTACACAATAACAAGGTCAGGTTTTAACCTGAATTGGAATCATAATTTGTGAGTAACAGAACAATCTGCATAGACTAATTGTACATACTATTTTCTAAATATTTTTTCTCCAGTGTAAAGGCTGGGGTGGATTATTTTAAGGTTGGGCGCCACGTGGAAGCCATGAATGAGTACAACAAGGCTTTGGAAATTGACCCACAAAATGTTGAAGCTTTGGTTGCACGTGGAGCTCTGTAAGTCTGCTTATTTCACTTTTTTCCCCTTTTGTGAAAGAGAAGCATCACTGTTTCATATGCAACTTTCTGTTGTTCTAGGTATGCAACCAAAGGAAGTCTGAACAAAGCCATAGGGGATTTTGAAGTTGCTTTAGAAAATTGTCCTACCCATAGAAATGCAAGGAAATATCTGTGTCAGACCCTTGTGGAAAGAGGCGGGCAGTAAGTGTTGGGGTTATGATTTTGGTTGGTGCCAAACTTGGTAACAAGTTTTCTCAGAATACTTTTTTTTAATACCATTTTAGTGAGGACACAAAATGGCATCTTTCCTTCCCGGCTATGTGTTTAAAGAAAAATAAAAGTCCTTGGAAATATCTGTTCTTGTGTAATTCGTTTACACTTTGTCCTCTGTCCCAGTTAAAATCCTGGCAAAATATTTGAGATTTAATCCTCAATATCCTTTTTAATCCTTGATACCCTATACAAGCCTGGTATCCTACCAGTGAAAAAGTCCTGTGAATTGTTTGAATATATTCCAAAAAGGTTTAGGATTGGTTTGGTTTGGGCTTTTTTTAAGTTTTTTAACAAAATTCTGCTACTCTGCTGAAATATTGGTGACCCACTCTGATGTAAAATTTTAGTTTTGAATATTCAGGGAATAGGTTTCTTTTAAGCCCTGCGATAAGAAGAGAGAGAGACAGTATTTTTGAAACTGGAATTGATATTTAAAAGAATAGTGTTACAGGTCAGAATTAGGAGAGGATAAGGTCAGAAATACTGTTTTGTGTTGTTAGTGAGGTGAGCTGAGATGATAGAGGGGGTCTTGGAGGGATGCAGTGGTTGTGTCATAGTGGTAATAAGAAATACTTGCAAATAGGAAAGCCCTCAAATAAGAAATAGCTGTCAAAATGTGTGTCCTAACTGTATATGAATTGTCACTTGAATTTTAGGTTGGAAGAGGAAGAGAAACTGCTAAATGCTGAAAGTTATTATAAAAAAGCCTTGAGCTTGGATGAGACTTTTCAGGAAGCAGAAGAGGCCCTAACCAAACTCCGTAAGCACATGCAGGTGATTCTTTACTTTCTTTTCATATGGTGCTCTCGGTGACAATAAATGAACATCAAAAATTGTACTAAATCCTTTGAACAGGGAGGGGTGAAATTGCTGGTTTGTCTTATTCTCTGCTTCCCTACTATACTCCACATGTTTTCTAGTGAGCATTATGGCTGTACCTACCAGAAGAAAGGTACCTATTGGTGACCCAACTGTTTTGGGATAGTAAAGAAATGCCAGACAGTGGAGACAGGGAAAGAGCAAAGCAGGGATAAGAATTTCCCATCACACAGTGTGATTAGTGAGGTTAATTTAAAACATTCTGTGAATACAGAAGTTCAAAGTGTAAAACACTTCCACAAGCCAAATAAACATTGTTACCATAGTCTGGCCAGACCCTTGGTCTGTGGGGTAATTAGAGAGAGTAACACCAGGCAAGGCTGAGGCACAGGGGGCTCACATGAGAGGGAAATCAAAAGGTAACTTAAAGGAAAACAGCAGGAGGTGGAGGGTGGGCGGGCAGACAGTTTGAATATCTCAGCTTTCTCCTCTGTTGTCTGGTGGGTTTTTTCTCTCTTCCCTTGCACGCAGCATGTGTCCCAGGTGAGCCTGCTGGGTCTCTGTGCTAATCTGAGTTGTCATCTTTTCCCTTTTATTTACCTCCTTTGCTTGTGTTGTCTTCCAGAGTGGGTCAAAGAGTAAAATAGAGCACTGAGGAGCAGGCTTGTGTGGTTCTGTGCTTCTGCATGTGAGGATGTACACAGGCTGGGGTAGATGGCCTTAGTCAGCAGTTCTTCAGTTGGTGGAGCCATAATGCTGACAGGATGTGTGGAAACAAGGGGGAAGAGGAGATAGGACAATCTGATAAAACCGAGCTACACCAGAGATAAAGAGGTGTAATTTGAGCAGTACCTGCATTTGGCTGCTTTAGAAAGAGGTGTCAGTTAAAAGGATGAAGAATATTCTCAGGAAGTAGGAGATAAATGTTACTCCTTAGACATTCTCCTGTGGTCATTGATGCAGCAGACGAAGAATATGACAGCTGCTATTTGTTGCTATGCATGGCCTTGGCTGCAGTGAAGGGTTTCCTTTGTTATAGCTGTTAAGATAATTGTTGAGCTTTGAAAACTATAAATCAGACTTTCCTGCTCAATCTGAACAGAGTGACTGTAGGGCTGTAAGTGGCAGAAGTCTGATCTCTTACGGACTTTAGTAGTTTAAGGATTGTTTATCTACTTAGATGCCCTCCTGCATTTACCTGTAACTTAATACATAAGTCTGATACTGTCCCTGTTGTGTAGAATGGCTGAAATAACTGCAGTGTGTTTTCCTGTAATTCTGATTATGTGTTTTTCTCCAATGCATTTCCCTCTGAATGGAACTGTTGTTGCTGTGCCTGCGTCTGGTGCTGCTCATCACCACCAAACCCCTGGAACTTGACTTCTTATGTAAACTATGCATCAAACTGCTCTGTGAAATTGTTACCAAATGGTTTGTATTCAAACATGGCCAACTTGAATTCATCATCAACTGGGTTCTGCCATGTTTCTCTTGTGTTTACAATAATGATGACACTTTCCCTCAAACTCTTCTCTCTGTTTTGGTTGTTTGGGGGTTTTGTCCTTATTTTTCTACATGTTGGTAATACCGGGGATATTTTGCATATTCTGTCTATAACTTTTGGGCTCTATGCTTCCTGGTGTGCTGGATGGGTACCACTGCAATGACTGGTCAAATATATTTTTTAATGGAATAAAAACTGCAATATGGTCCTTAAATATAAACCTGTCACAATGGCCAATACCAAATTCCTGAATAATATTCATTTTTGGTCTGGGAATCCTGGTAAAACATTCCTGGTGTATACATTTGGATGGGGTTGAATGGGGGTTAATACCCGTGTTAACACTACTAATGTAATTTTTTTTATGATGCTTGGGTTCAAAAAAGAAATCTTTGGAAATGAGGGAGAAACAAGCTGCCAAAGAAGAGAGACAGAAAGCAAAGAAAATAGAAACAAGTGCAGAAAAGTTGCGTAAGCTCTTAAAAGAAGAAAAGAGGTAACTGTTACATTCAGTGTACTGGTTGTGTGGCAATAAGTGCACATGAGACTGTGAGCAATTCATCTCAACAAACAGCAAGCTGGGGAGAACTTCTCCCTGGGTAAGCTGCTTTTCCCTCAGAATGTTTTTGTGAATAGTGTCCTTTAGTGCATAGAACCTTTAATGGAGATGTGTGTGGAGGAGAAGTTGTTTAAGGAATATTTTGCAATGTGACATTTTTGCAAAGCTTAATGCCACATGAAATTGGGAAAGAGGGCTCTTAAACAAAATGTTCAGTGGATTTAATTTGTTGATGAAGAAATGACATTTGAAATAGTCATGTCAGTCAGGCTCAGTTTCTGTTCCCACTTTACAGTCCAAGCTGGGGTATGCAGATTTGCTTTCTATGTGTAGTTTTCACCTGACACTGAAGGTTATCTCACAGGTTAATTATTTTTTTAGGTTGAAAAAGAAAAGGAAAGTATCGACTTCCTCCTCTTCTTCTTCTTCATCCTCCTCCTCCTCATCATCATCATCATCAAGCGATTCATCATCAGATGTATCAGCTTCTTCCTCCTCCTCTTCCTCTGATCACAAGAAACGTAGGAAAAAGCGTCGGCATAGATCTGAGTCTGCTCGCAGCTCCAAAAAAAGCTCATCTAGAGCTTCTTCCCATTATAAAGATCAGAATAGGAAAGAGGAGTGGTATTCCCCTCCAGCTGATACCTCTGCTTCCTTTCTTAACCAAAGTTTTGAAGTGGAAAAGCTGCTGGAAAGGCAGGACAGCATAGTGTGCGCAAAAACGGAGGTAAAAGAGAAAGACAGACACTGTTCTTTTTCAAGGACTTCAGGTGATGATGAAGACACTTTTGGAGGTAGGTCTGAAGATTCACGAGATTCTTACAGTAGCTTCAGAAGTCAGCCAAGTCATAGCAAAACTGAAAAATACAGTAAACCAGAGAGATTCTTCTCCAGTTGGAGGGGTCCTTCAGGTTCGTATCATAAATCAGATTATAAACCCAGGATGCATTACTACAGGAGATTTGAAAGGGATGGAGAGTGGAGAAGGGAGCAGTTTAAGAGACATGGCTCAGGTCAAGACAGGTATTACATGTCCCCAGGGTCTGACTATTCTGGCAGGTCAGGGGGGAAGTACAGGTCATATTCTAGCAGCTGCTCACATGAAGGTGACAGAGGTTATGATAGTGACAGGCGGCATAAAAATGAAAGTGAGTCTAAGAATAGAAAAATCAGTTATGAAGACACTGATAAAACAAAGGAACCAGATGAAGAGGTGTCATTAAATGGTACAGAAGAAGAAGCAAGTGGTGTTAAAAGAAACCTGCCTCAGAACTTAGTTAACATTTTTAATCAGATAGCTGAATTTGAGAGGGAAAAAGGAAGCAAGCAGAAGAAACAGTGAAGTACCTGAGAATACACTACTTGGATGAGTGTAGTTATGTCAACTTTTAACTTAGCATCTTGTGAGCAAATACACACAAAGTGTGAGAAAAAGGCAGAATTTTTTCTGCATTTCAGAATGTCAAAGAATTCTAAAAGATCATATAGTGGAAAGATATGGAAGAATATCTTATATAAAATACCAGTTATTTAAAATACAAGTTTCCTGTGCTCTTAATTTGAGGTGTTCCTGTACAGTATTCTGTCTGATGGGCTGAAATCCCTTGCTAACCCTGGGTGTAGTTAGCTGTGCTCACATGAAATATGCACTTTAACAGCTGGGCTTGGTATTCCTTGTCCCTGGGGTACTATTGACGGTTGATATTCTTCTATCAAACTTAACTCCCAGCTATAGAAAAGGGATAACAGAATGAAGTCATGTGCCATCAATGTATATAGCCCATTTGATCATTAAATTTTCTTAATTTTTCTTAATTTTTTTGTGTCTGGGTTTTTGTGAATGTTGCTAGGATGTTTCATCCTAGTGCACTGTTACATTTGCTGTCTACTCCATGGAGCCCTGCTGTGGCTGTGAAGGCAAGTGTACTGCATGTTCTCTGAGAGTAATATAAAAAAAAAAACCAAAACTCCAACTTGAAGCAGAAGAGCAGGTTTTGCAACACCATTTATTGTCTAGGTAAGCTCAAGTGTGAACTCTTGGTTTGAGCTGTGGGGGGGATTTGCTTACAAGAGCTTGGAGGCAGCAGTTGTGTTGCTGAAGAAAAGGTTACGTGGCTTACAGGGAGATCTGCAAAGGTGAGTGGCAGAACCACACAATGACAATTGTACTTCAGCTGCAGGTCTTCCAGGTAACTCCATGGATATAAGCTTGTTGCAGAAATTAAGAAATCTCAACTATTGTAGCCTTCAAAAAATGACTTAAGTCTTCCTGCGATGAGAAATCCCAGAGGTGCTGCCTCTGGTGCCCGGCTGTGAGCCAAGAGCTGCTGCTTCCTCAGGAGTGGGGATGGCCAAGGTCAGCTCCACTTTGGCTGGTGAAACCTGACTGGAAGCTGAAGCTCTTCTACTGGGAACTCTGAAAGGCAAAAATTTACTAATTAGGATGCAGAAATCCCTGCATCTAAAACAGCACTGCCAAGGGTGGCTCACAATGAAGCCACCCAGTAGGCATGCTCACTCCAGAGACCCCCTAAGAGATCTCTGTAGCTACCACCACTAAATGGCTTCAGTAACCCCTGGAAATGTTGGATCATAACTGGGTCAGCATGACACAGCCTCTATTTGAGCATACACTGAACAGGGGAAAAGGTACCAGTAAAAGCATCAGTATCTTCTCTAATTAGGAAGGGGTGTTCACACTACCAAGTGTAAAATGTGGCTCAAAATTGTCCTTTATAACACCAAACCACTTATTTTTGTTTTTTTAGTTAGAGCACAGTAAACAAAAGTAAATGTTCTGTAATCATTGGGTTTTCTAAACTGTGATTGATAGATGCTGAAGTAAACTTCCTCATATGCTAGAAGAATGTAGTTAAATGACAGAGTAAGGAGAAAGTTTTTACAGAGTCTTCAGCAAAAAGAAAATTGAGATGAACTTCAAGAGTAAAGAATTCTTTCAGTAATGGACTAATTTTGCTGGCTTAAACTTGTTCCTAGAAAAACCTGAAAGTAACCCAAGAGTGTTAGAACTTACCTGGAAGGAGGTAGTGAGCTCTGTGGGGACTGAGAAGTTTGACTACTACTGGGAGAAACAGCCATAGGAAGCTCTAAATCATACTAGAAAATTTGGAAAGAAAAAAACAAGTTGACCTGTTGTTTGTATAATAGGATTGGGATATCAAGAGCATTTACAGAGCTTGGCATTTGAAGAGGTGTTGGAAGCAGGTGAACACTTCCCTGCTTTCCCATATTGTGAGTTGTCCTTGAAAGACACTCAGTAACAGGCTGGAGCTCTCACTCAAGATTTTGGTGGCAGTTAAGTGAAAAGCTCACCTTGTCAAAGTACATTTGAAAGGCTGCAACTAAACCAGGATTGGCTTCTAGAACATCAGCTATCACTTGGTTGACAGTTTTGTTGAAGGCTTTCAGTTCCCGAAGATGAATGTCTCTCTCTTCCAGTGTTTCTGTTTCACCTTCCCTCTGAGACTCAATTTCTCTGGATAGTTTGGAACACTTAACACAAATATTTTTAAAGCATTATTCTTATGAAAATACAATACTTTTTCAGAAAGCTGCTAAGTTAAAACCACAGAGTTTAACGCACAGAGTTTAACCCACACTACTGTCTATCACTATAAAGTTAGAAGTTCTCATCAATAAATAAATATCAATAAATACACATACCTGTTTTATAACCCTGTTTAGTTTTGGCTTCTGTTCATCAATGTCTTTCTTCAGCTGCAAAATAAGAACTTCTTTTTCCTTCTTTTGCTCTTTGAGGAGGGCCTGCTGCTTCTGTAGTACATCTAAGTGTTGTTGCCTGCTCTGCAAATTCATTTGAACAGTAATATTAGTTTATAAAGCAGGCTTGGTATCCTTTCACTTTTTGTATTTGTGAAAGGGTCCATTGTCATTAGTTCTTGTTTCTAAATGTAGCTCAAGCAATTAGTGCTAATGTTAACCAGAAACTTTCTGCCAGTCGAAATGTTTGGTGGATACAGACCTGGACAAAGAAACTCCCAGGTAATTTACATCTCATAAAGGCACTGGTAATGAAGTTACAGGTATGTATTTTCAGATACATCTCATAGTGGCCACAAACTATTCACTTGGCACCCTACCAGCCTACCAGTGCAAGCTATCCTGAAAAAAACCCCAACATTGCTTCCTGTAGGAGAAGAGGGATACCTTTGACTGGAATGAATAAAATCAGCTCCATAAGGGCAGCTGGGTTTTTTAATAATTAAATAAATAAAAATTTAAAATATTAAGAGGCAGGAATGGGTTTGCTGTAACATCAAAAAAATTGCACCACAATTTCCTATTCTTCCTCTAGGATGACTTGCATGGATTTAGCTACATGCTGCAATCTTGTCTGACTGAACTTTACTTGTATTTTACCTGGATGTTTTCCTGAAGTTCCTTGATCTTTCTTTGTTTGTCTTTGTATTTTTCATCAGCATCCTTTATGTCCTGTTCTAGTTTCAATTTTTCCTCAAGTTCCTCACCTGTGATCCCAAACAATGAAGCAGCATTATTGCTGTGCATACAGCTCAGTTTTCACTTGAAAATAACTGTATCTCAGGACATTACTGTATTGGTGTTGGCAGTATTTCAGTGCCTCAAGGTTTGAGGGTTTTTTAAGTACTCTCCTACTAATTCCAAATCACTGTGGAAAAGTAGCTGACTTCATGAGGGAGAATGATTTTAGAGCCAGCAGAGGGCACAAAAGTTAAATAATAAGTGTTATTTAGAATTAAGTTCTATTTTGTATCTAATTTCTATTTCACATACTTGTCTCAGGGACTGCCTTTAAAGAGTTTTTGTAGTGTCTGTTCCAGTTTTTAAGTACACACAAACTGTTTTCCATAGCCATGATTTCTTTTTCAGCTTTGCAGATCTTTGCATCCAAATCATCACCTTCTTGCTGAAGTGCTTCCTTTTCCTGTGCAGCCTGAAAGCAAACCCACTAGGTGACTGCAGACATACTGAAAATACCAAGATAATTACACAGAAAATATTTATTATACAGCAATATTTTGGGGTTAAAACCCCTTGAACTGAGATTTGGGTGCCTAGGGAACCAGAAGGAGGAGTTATGTACAGTATTGAAGTTGTTTGAGGCACTTCATTATGGATACCTGCCTCCCTGCCTGAGCTCATTTAGTCCTGCCCAGCAGCATCTATATTTTGTGGAGAACAAAATAAACAGATTCTTCTTCAAGAAGCAGGGTATTGCATTTTGGATAAAGACAGATTTTTTTTCCAGTGAAAAACTGAAGTGTATATAGGTGATTGGTAAGTGAAAGGGGAAAGGAGACATTCTTTAAGGTATAAATCTCATATGGTAAAATGAAAGGTAGGAAGAACTTAAGGTCCTGTGAGATTCCAATAAAGTTCTTTCCAGTTCATAGTGGATTATAACTTGACCACTAATTCTTCTGTATTTGGAAATTAATGAGCACTTAAGTGAAGTTTTCAAACTGCTCAGAATTAAAGCTCCACATAAATTCCTGTGAAATTACTGTATCATTTAAATAACCAGTGATGTCAGATAACATGAACCAATTAGACTCAAAAGTAGGCAGTAGGCAAGGAGTTTGTCTAAGAGCCCAGGGAAATCTATAGCTTAAATAATTGAATTATCATGAATAATGATAAAATACCTTAATTACATAGTAGGCCTGACTTTTCATCTCCTCTCCTTCAGGTGGCATCATGGAAAGAGTAAAAACTTCATATTTGTGTTTCAGTTTATCAATTTTCCACAGGCGATCTTGAAATTCAGCACTGAATTGTTTGGGAAGGAAACAAATGCGTTGAGAAAATGTTTGTCTGGTAGAGTTTTGTGGGCAGTTCTTGCTGCAGCAGTTTAAATTCCTGATGTTATTCCAGCGGTCTCTACCAGGAATTGTGCTGCTACAGGTCTTGGTGGTATTCTCTGCTCTCCCAGCCACAAACATCCCTTGTTCTGGTTACTTATGTGCCTTTTCAAGTTCTAAACTGAATCAAATCTGTTTTCACATCCCAGATTGCTGCATCCCAGGAGGCTGTGCCACAGTCCTTCCCCAAATGTACAGCTTGGCAATGCACTCCCAGAGCTGCCCCTGCTGATGGTACCTTAACATTCCCACTGTGTGGGGTGAGTGTGAGGAACAACCAGGAACAGCCCCAAATCAGAGTCTGGAAGTATCCAACAGCTGGGTGACACCAAAGGAAGAAGGCCAGACTGTGCTCTCAGGCACACCAAATCACTCTAATTCCCATTGTGAGGGCTGTGGTCAGCAGTGAGGGCAGTTCAGCTGCTGAAGTGTTCATTTTTGGCTGAATCTAGATGCTGGGATTTCAGGGCTAAAACCATCCCAGATACTTTGGGCTGATTATTATAGGAGGGAAACTTTTGTGTTTCATATACTTTGGCATACCTCCAGACACATGGTTTCACATGCCCAGATTAGTTTGAAAAAGACAGAGTTGCACACACAGTGTTTACTGTAAAAGAATGTCTGTGACTGAGGTTTCCTCTCACTTCTGCTGAGGTTCCTCACTCACAGAAAGGCCACTGATCTGTTCACCAAGGGGTTAAAGCTGCAGCCTCAGGGGTCACAGATGGGGTCTCTTGCTGGCCTCATCTGTCTTGGTAGAAAACATTGAGCAACATTTATTTAATCTTCAATTTCTCTAATGGTGAAGCTGGGTAAAATGCTTCTCTTTTTAGTAAGTCCCTATAAAAAATGCACTTGGTCAAAGCTACAAGTTGAATTTCTGTAAGAACAGTTACCTCAGGCGGTGCCGTTCCTGATCCAGCAGCCTTA